TTGATATGCTGGTATTTGGTTCATATGTATTTATGACTTATCTATTCCTCTTAGATTGTTTCCTTTATAAGGATATAGTCAAGAAGGATTTTTTTTTTTTTTTTGGCTAGCTCAGGCTGCCTTAAGAGCGGGTCTGGTGTGGCATGTGGAGCTGGGGATTGAATTGCGGTCCCTTGCACCTGACTGGGTTTGCCCATGCAGTGCTTAAACAACTTAGCTAACTGGCAAGCCCCATAAGGATATAGTGACCTTCTTTGTCTTTTTTATAATCAGTCTTGGCTTGAAGTCCACTTTGGCTGCAAGCAGAATAGCTACTCTTACCTTTTTCTTGGTTTCTGTCACATGGAGTATTGTTTTCTATCCTTTGACTTCATGAATTTCTTTTCAAGTTAAATGTGTGTGTTGTATGCAGCATGTTGTTGGATTTTGCTTCTTGATCTGTTCTGCCAGTCTGTTAGTTTTGATTGGTGAGTTGAGACCATTTACCTTGAGACCATAACTGATGTGTATTGATTTATCCTTGTTGTGTTATTTTCCTGTTCTTGGCTCCTTTTTCCTGTTCATTTAATTGTTTGCCTTGCCTGATGGATTCATTCTGTTTGGGTTCATAGAGTTGAATTCCTCATCTCTACAATGTCATTTTAAATATTTTGGAGTGCTGGTTCTGTTTGGTGGTCATTAATTTTCTTAGGTGTTCTTTATCATGAAAGTATTTTATGTCTCCATCAATTTGAAAAATAGTTTTACAGAGTACATCAATCTTCACTGGAAGTTGTTTTCTTTTAGGACTTGAAATACTTGAAGATCTCCTTGACTTAAGGATTTGTGTTGAGAAGTCAGCTGTGATTCTGATGGGCTTTCCTTGATGTTTTGCTTTCTCTAACAGCTTTTAATATTGTGTTCTTATATTGAATTTTTCTATTATATGCCTTGGGATAGATTTTTTAAAATTGTGGCTACTTAGAATTTTATATTTTTTATTCATCTGTGTGTCAAATTGTTTTTCCTTGCTTGGGAAGTTTCTGTCATCACTTTTGTGAACAGATATTTGTGTCTTTTTATCTCTTGCTTTTTCATTGACTCTTACCAACCATATGTTCTTATTATTTTTTAATAATAGGAAGAATTTATTGAAAGAAAGAAAGCTTCTGTTGGGTCAGGGATATAACTCAGCAGCACAGATGCCTGCTTGGCAAGTGCAAGGTGCTGAATTCAGTTCCCAGTACAAAAAAAGAAAGCTGTTTGAGAGGGACAAAAGGGATCCAGAAAGTGAGTTGCCTACCAACTGTGGTTCTGAACGGTATTTCAACAAAGCTAAGATGTGAGGCAGGTTCGAAGTGGGACAGAATTAGAATCATTTAATAAGATTACAAAGTATAGTCACAGTATTGATCCACTGGGAAATCACAAGATGGGTATGAGGTGGGACAAGACTATAGGGAGCAAATAAGGTTATAAGTGTAGTGGCTTGGGTAATAGTGATTAAATGGGGATCCAATTGTAAAGCAAATCATGTAGCAAACACACATGGAATAGACAAGGACTTACATGAAAGACATGGGTTAAGGAGGTTTGGTCCTCCACTTCAAGGTGATGGATGCCTAGTTAGAATATCAGTTATTGCTGTTCATCCCTAGGGGAAGTGTTTGAATGAGTAGTTCCTTTTTTTCCCTGAATTCTAGCTTTTGGTGAATACACCCCCAGCCACAGTTGTCTTCTGCACTGATCTCTCAAGGACCCAGCCCAGTCTGACAGCCTACAATATTCTTACCTAATTTAGTTGTCTATAATAACACCCCATTGCCCCCAAGAAGTATGCCTAACAAAGGGAAAGGACTGTTGCCAGCTGAAGAGGGTGGGAGTTGTGATGGGCAGTCAGAGATACTCCACAGAGGGTCTATCTAAAAGGCCCTTAATAGGTGCCAGGTGTATCTTGGGTTTATATCTGGAGGAGACAAGACCAAAGAAACAAGTATGCATAATAATAAAATATAAGGCCAAATAATAAAATCAACAGGATAATTATGAATATATCCAATAAAAGTTTTTACCAGGAAGAGCCAGTAATAGGAGGAGCCAGTTTTATGCTCTTTCTATGAAGAGCATAAGGAGAAGGTCCAGGAAATTTCAGAATCTGACATGTCATTAACTTGTCTAACATGTTGAACAGCTATTGAGACATTAGCAGAAGGATCAAGAATGTACACACAGCATTCAGCTTTTATAATTGCACGAGTACTTCCTTGTGCTTCTGTTAGAATGTCTAATGCCATCCAGTTTCGGATGATAGCTTGCCTCATTAATTTTACTTCATTCAGGAGAGAAACCAGCTGTGGCCCACTAAATATACTTAGTTAAAGCCTGGATGTGTTGCATGACATTCTCTAACTCTAGGGAAGGGATAAAAATAGAAGCCCAAAAATCATATCAGTGAAACATACTTGTAGACCATAGTTGCCACAGGTGGGGCAAGTTTACAGGTTTGTCAGTACTTTTGACATTTCTGCCTGTAACCATGAAAATCCCAGTGTGCATCTTCCTATCCACGTAGGGGGTAACCAGGGCCACAAATTGGTTCCACAGGGCTGATGATTGCTATTGGGGGCTTCTTATCTAATTCCAAGGCGATTAAACCAGTTTGTTGTAAACCAATCTTTACCCTGTAAAGTTATTGTGTGTATATATTCTTTGGGGAGTGTCCATCCTAATTATTTAGTAGAGTTAAACCAATGAGAATAGGAGTGATTTTTCGGTTCTCAGAATAAGGGGGCTGGCCTTTCTATGAAGATGTTCTGTAGTGGGAGTTAGTCATAGATGATTATTTCATATCTGGAGATAGCCATCTTGAAACCTGTGGTTGTTGGTCCTCAGAATAGGGCTCTTACTTTTATTTAATAGGGGTCATGCCAGAGCCCTTAAGAGGTTTTAGTGACAATAGCAGATGCTAGATTTATTTTTTATTTTTCTTTGTTCCTTGCTGTTTTTAAGAGATCATTTTTTTCATGATCACAAACGTCAGCCTTGTCTTCTAGATCTGATATTCTGTCCTCACATTGGCTAATTCTGCTACTTGGACTTTCAATGGAATTTTTTCCTTTCCTGGATATCTGTTTGAATGTTTCATGGATTCCATTTGTTTCCTATGGTTGGTGTTTATGGTTCCCATCTTCAAAAGCTCCTCTTTTTTAAAAATCTGTGTCTTTTCTAGAGTCACCATGTCTTTCATTTTGGTCCCCATCTCTATAGTTATCTGTGAGATTATTTTTCATTTGATGTTTTTCTAGAGCTTCAGTCTTCTACTTTGCTACTTCTGCTATTACCACTTCAGAGAGTTCAGGTGGGTGGCTTTCATATTATTCCATGTCACTGTCCCCCTCACTACTCCTAGTTTGTCTTTGGTGAGCTGCAGGTCCAGGTCTGGGATTGCATTTTACTTGTCGTCGTCTTCTTATTTCTCCTCTCCCTCCTCCTCCCTTTTTCCTTCTCCTTTCTCCCTTCTTCTCCCTTCTCCTTCTCCTCCCTTCTCCTTCTTCCTTCTCCTCTTCTTCTTCTTCCTCCTCCTCCTCCTCCTCCTCTTCCTCCTCCTCCTCCTCCTCCTTCTGTTTTTTGAGATAGGGTCTCGCTATGCAGCTCAGGCTGACCTTGAGCTCTCTTTGTGGCCCAGGCTGGTCTCAAACTTGCAACAATCCTCCTGCTTCAGCCTCCTCAGTGCACTGGGATTCAGGAGTGCACCACCATGCCTGGCCATTTTTTCTTCCTTCCTTTCGTTTTTTTTTTTTTTTTTTTTTGTACCAGGGGTCGGACTTAAGATCTTGCATTTAGTAGGCAGGCGCTTATCTGTTGAACTATATCTCCCAGATCCTTTTTTGGATTTCTTGAAGTGCTTTTTTTTTTTTTTTTTTTTTTTTTAACGCCGAATGCCCTCAAGGCATGACTGGCTGTATTGTGTTGTGGGGATCGAACCCAAGCAACCTGAGCCTGACTGTTTTGTTGAAGCAGCCACTTAAAGAACTGAGCTATCGGGCAGGCCCCCAAATGGCAGAAGTGCTTTTTTTTTTTTTTTTAACGCCGAATGCCCTCAAGGCATGACTGGCTGTATTGTGGATTTCTTGAGATATGTAGTGCAGAATGGATTTGAATTCACTATGTAGACCAGGTTGGCCTTGAGCCCAGCCATCCTCCTGCCTCAGCCTCCTCAGTGCTGGGATTACTGGTATGCAGCACCATGCTTGACACCCAGTTTGTTCTTGATTTACAGGGAATAATTAAACCAATTGGCTATTGGTTTGTCATAAAAGGGTGTTATCCCATTGATAAGATCCTCTTACATCCATTTTTTCTTTCCTTTTCTTCTTTCTTTTTTTGAGATGAGGTCTTGCTGTGTACGTTCAGGCTGCCCCTGAATTAACTGTTGATCTCAGGTGAACCTTGACCTTGCAGCCGTCCTCCTTCTGGCTCCCAGGTCTGGGATCGCAAGCTTGGGCTACTGTTCCTGGCTGCTGCTGCTGCTGCTTTTTAATAGTGAATGGATGTTGGATTTTGTCCAAGGATGTTGGATTTCCTGTATCAGTTGAGATGATCATGGGCTTTTGTCCTTCGTTTTGTTTCCTGAGTGCTGGGAACACAGGTGTGTGCTACCATGCTAGGCCTGTTGAAGATTTCTGAAGGTATGTTCATTGATGAGACTGATCTGTAGTTCTTTTTTTTTTTTTTTTTTTCCAAGTTAAAAAAAAAGTTTAACTTACACATAATACAAGTTATGTACACCATTATGAGGAAGGGAAAACTGAATAAATCCTGGAACACACAGATGGATTACATATGGGAAGGGGAGAGGACACTTCAATATCAACATATTCTGTGCCATTAACTCATTAATGATGACTACATGGCCACCACGAATTGCATGTGAATGCCAGAGCTTCCTGGATTACCACTATAAATACATTTTTTAAAAAAAAGGAAAACACAAATAAATGCCGACAGTGACTAAAGGAGACTAAGTTAACATACAATTGCATGTATTGCAGGCAAGGCAGAGGCATTGTCTTTAAAGCTTTTGCACAGACTTCATATAATCTTAAAAAACATATGCAGGCCTTTACAAGATTTGACTTGCTGAAATCAGAATAATTTTAACTCATGAAAAGTCATAAGACTTCAGCTTTAAAAAAAGTTCCAGCCTTAGACCAAAAGAACCTGGTTGGGTACGGTAATTTATTCAACAAGCATGGTCAAGCTTGGAACCTGAATTACTTCAGAGCAAAAGCTCAAAGAGGGCAGGGAGAAGAACCTATTTGGTAATAAGATGTACTATATACTGTGATATAAAAAAGGTATGGTGAAAATGTACCTTTTACTAATAAAGCTTATACAAGTTCCTTGGTCCATAAAAACTATGTTAGATTTGTGTCTTCTAGTTTGCTTAACTTTATACCAGCCACATATCTATTTCTTGCCCATTTAAACAAAACCAAACAAAAACCAACCAAACAACAACAAAACAGCTGAAAAACTCAATCTCCAACAGTTTGTACACTTTGACACTTTTGTTTGTTTTGCTGTGGCTTCTGCATCTCCAATCAGCACTTGCATGTAACGGGGCTTCCGAATAGAATCACTTGGTATGAAAAGTTTTCCCAAGAAACCACAAAAGATCATTCATTTTTTTCTTTCCTTTTTTGACAACTTTTTGCTGCACTAAGGTCAGTTTTAAGTTTTAGCAAAAAGACGGTGGTTAGGATACCACAGTTGCTGTAGATGATGTGACGCTGCTTGAATTTGTGCTGGCGTTTGTGTAACTTCCCTCACTGTTTGTGTTTGATTCATTGGAGGGCACTTGGCTTGAATTGGCTCGAAGGATTGCTCCAGCTGCACTGCAGTGTGGCCTTGGCCCTGGTTCTGGTGTGTAGGTAAAGGTAAGGCTGGTGGAATAAATGATTCCATCATTTCGGACCAAAGTTACTGGAACCTGGACTGGCTGCCGGACCCATCTCCAACCTTCTCGGAATGCAGAAATGTCTGGGACAACACAGAGCATGCTCTCTCCACACCTGTACATAGTTTCAGCTTCTACATCCCCAAACCATACTCGTAAATTTGGAGTGAAATTCTGTCCTGTAAGTTCAAGCATTGCTACATCCCCGCCGCCATTCAACTGAAGACTTGCTACGACAGGCACAGGGGTGACTGGGGCCAGGACAGGGCCCATTCCTTCATAAAATGTGTATTCTGCCTTATCTGTGCTAATGATTGTCCACGAAGCTCCGTCATTTATCATCTCTTTATTTGGTTCTTTTGGGCATGGAGTGGCCTGAAACTGGATTATTCTTTCTTGAGAAAGGCACAAGTACATTCTTTCTGTATCCTTAAGGTAAAATGCACATTTATGTAGTTGTGACACCGGATCATCTGCATCCAATAATGCTGTCTGTTTATCAACTTTCCTAATTATCAGTTTCGGGAGTGCCATGCCAGTAACTGAACACACAAGTTTGACTGTTTGTCCATAATGGATGTAACCATCTCGGACTGTGAATTCTTCTCCTTCTGATTCATCATCATCCAAGAGATGAATGTAAAATGCTCCCCACTGCTGTGAACTGGCATGGAAATTACCTCCTTCTACATGCAAGTATCTGGTACTAACTGTCTGGGATCGAAGTCGATTAAACAAAGCCACCTTTGTTCCTGAGGCAATGCACAAGTCAGCATTTTTCAGTGACTGCTTCTTTTTGGAGGGTTTGGAGATGACTTTAATCCACTTGCTAAGGAACACACCAATGTCATCACTTTTGCCATAGAACATTTTTACAGACAACATGAAATGTTTTCTCTTGTCAGAATCAGAGATGTACAATGTCTTGGCTGTGCAATAGTTCTTTCCTTCCAAGTTCAGCTGCTGCATTTCTTGGTCACTATTTCCTATTCCAATAAATGCACATGGTTGAGACTCTTGCTCAGAAGAACCATCGCGTTCCATTTGTTCTTTTTTTTTTCTTCCATCCACTGCCCATAAGATATACACAAGGCGGAGGGCAAAAAAACCTTTTTTCATTTCCATATGACTTCTGTGCAACTTTTGCATGAAGAATAAGTACTGTTTGATCACCTTGTTCTTTTAAATAATTTCGCATAGCTTCCCTAGTGAGTCGTTTAGGTGGAGGTGGAGGCCGCACACCATATTTCCTTTTAATCCACGCCATGGTACTTCAAGAACATGTTAAGGTAAGTCCCAGCTTGGAACACTTCGATGCACCTCAAAACACCTCAGCCAGTATCTGTATCACTCTCCTTTTCTTTTGGGATCATAATGGTTCCGAAGAACTATAATGCTTCCATTTGAATGATAGTCTCATAATTTCAATGACCTGTCACAACAGGCGCCATCTTCCACAAACTCTCGCCCTGTAGTTCTTTTATCGGGTGCTTTTTCTCTGGTGTTGGAAATAGTGCTAGCTTCCAGGAATGATTTTGGGTGCACTTTTTTTTGTTTTTTGTTTTTTTGTTTTGAGACAGGGTCTTGCTATGTAGTACAGGTTGGCTTTGAATTTAAATTTCATTAGTCTTTGAGGAGAATTGACATTTGATCTCCTCTAAAGTTTTTGTAGGATTCAGTAGTGAATCCAGTGTGACCTGGGTTCTTGATGGTAATTTTCATTCTTAATTTCACAATCCAATTTCTTGGATTATTCAAGATTTTCATATTTTCTTGGTTCAGCTTTGGTTGGTAATTTATATATATCTAGGACTCTATTTGTTTCCTTTCACTCTCCATTTTACTTTTAATTTTTAACATTTAACAAATTTCTGATGTTTTTTTTTTTCTCCGATTCTGAGTTGTTGTTTTTTTTTTTCAAAGTTTTATTGATAAACAGATAGCAATGAGACAGTTTCAAATCAAATCGGAAGTACAGTTTCAACAAACAATACACTGCATATATTCTT